ACGTTTTCTTGAAAAACAAGTCAATAAAATCTTTTCAACATAACAACGCTCGTAATTTACATTCGAACACATTTTTCTTATTTTACTACACATACAAGGCAGAAAAATTTAGTAAATTACGCTTTGAAATACATGCCTAAATGATCCGAAACATCCTCCCTCCGTACAAACTTTAGGTTTATACCATACAATACAAATAAATGATACGGCAGGGGTATGAGTAGCACCATGGAGTCAAAGAATTCAAACTTATAATCGTGACAAATTAAGTAGTCCACATTTGATGAGTAGGATCATTTAATACGTAGAAAACAAATTGACTTTAAGAAATAAAAGACTTTTATTCGACAATTTAAAATACGCTAAGACAATCGCTTTACAACTGACCGTCCACATGAATGTTACGTACACAATGTGTTTATATTCGAATGATAGAATTATTCAAGATTCTTCTATTATATGCGTGTTTTAATATTACCTTTTAGGTTTGTACCATACGAATTTTAAGTATAGAATAGCGTTTAATGATTTATATTTTTTAATGCATTACGAAACTTTACAAAATTAAACAAATCCTATTTAAAAATTCGACGCAATTGAACTTATGCCCAATTTATGTGGACCAACGACTTGAATCTTCAATTTATTGCTACAGTGACATGTCTACAACGTAAAGGGATACCGCCAACTCACCTTCCTTTTCTTTGCACATGTTTATGCTTTTGGAAAACTTCTCGCAACAGAGAAGGGAAATCTCCTGCTCACCTTCCTGGTCTTCGTGAAACACCACTCGTAATAAAAAACAAAAACCGTTTGCTCACCCTTCTTCTTGCTAATACATCTGCTCCTCAAATACTGCCAATAAGAGAGAAGGAAAATCACCCATATCACCCTCCTTCTCCTCACCAATTCTTTCGCAGCAAAAGCAAACGAATAATCATCATCAGAATCCATTCGGCGTATGGGACCACGCTAAAAGTGCTCAAAGAGGTGTCTCGACGCCATCATCAGTCACAGGCTCAGGATCGAGAGGGCGTTATGAGGTGTGGGACAGCGTTGACGGTATTCAGCGCTTCAGAGCACGAAATTACGCTGATGGGAGGTGGGAATCTCACTGGCACAGGTGCTCGTAGCGGCAGCACAAAGCGAACGCTTTAACAATGACAGTGTGATTTTAACAACGTCATAAGCTTGGGCCCAGGACAGTGCTGTGGCTAACTGAGTTGCATTGATGCAGGGTGGCTTAACATCGTAGACAACCGCAAGCTTGGGATAAAAAATATAATATTGAGCGCAGGGCCATACTAATGATGAATGCTTGGGGTGTTGAATGATCAATCAAATTGTCTACAAATCGGTATGACGCACGAGAGCGTATATTAACCAACTATGCTGGTTCAGGAGTTAGTGGCTCGTTGAGATCATGGTCAGAAGAGGGACAGCGCAACACAAAAGAAAAAGCGCAGAATCGCCAAATGGCACAAATGGCGCAGACGCTTCGATGCACAGCATGGAGGTGCAAGTGCTTGGCATTGCTGGGAATAGTCGAGGCGTCGGTTCGACGTTGGATTAGGCCACAATCTCGAACTGAGACATTGTTGAGGCATGCAAGTTCTTCGAATTCATTCTTTTGTTAAGTAAGCTCGGATTCTGGATCATTGGGGACGGCACTGCAATGTGCTCGGTTCGGGACGCAGTTGCTCGGGATAGTTGCTTGACAGATAAAAGTAAGGTTTAGGATCGGGACGGCATTGTGTGGCACAAAATTGAGCTGTCGAATATCAGTACTGCTGAAGATAATAGTTCGATGTTGGCGCCATCAAGAGGCTCAGGATCGAGACATCGTTGCACGACTGAATACATCCGGAGGTATATAATTTGCGAAAAGAGGAGAACGCAGCATGCACAAATGCACAATCGCTCATAAAAACAGGAAAATGAGATGGACGACGATAATACGGTATGCAAGTGCGCACTGTCACTTGGCAGTATCAGGAAGTCAGGGATACGACGTTTGCGAACGTGCTGCCACTTAAAAGGACCAGAAAGACGATGACACAGCATGCGCGTACGTACTGCTGTTTCTCAGGATCAGGAAGTCGAGAAAACGGCATGACCGAACGCAGTGACGCTTAGCAGGATCAGGAAGTCAAGCAAACAGCCATTTGGCTTGGCATTCGAGGTCGTGTTGGAGCTTGGGCTGGAGGTGGCGGTTGTGGAATTTTATCAGTATCGTCAACTACGGACCATCATCGTCACAGCTGTCCATGAGATTAGGATCGTCGGCGATGGCTTAATCATTTGTGCTGACCACGGCACGTCAGCTCGTCTCAATGCAGAAGCCACCAGTGCTGCTGCCGTTGAAGTCGCTATGGCTGGGCTTCTTGCTCTCGTTCCGTTGGAGCATTCTGTAGAGCTGTTTACTTTTCTTTTTATGATTCCTTTGGCACAAATTTCAAAATAATAATTCTCAGATTTCGGTACCAAAATGCAGCTGACAAAACAGCTTGAAGTAAAGAAAGAAACATGTTAAGAAAATTATCGAATAAAGAAAAAATTATTATTTAAAAATAAGATGTGACAATTTGATTGATCCGAAACAGACATTATTCCGGCGCGTATTCCTTTGGCTAAAACTATTGTAAATATGCACCGCTTTATTGTTAGTATTCTATTGCACTTAGGTACTACTTTTTATGTCACTGATTTTTGTGCATGTGCGCTTTCATGGTGTATGATTTTTGTATAATACTTTCGTTTATTGTATACTTCAATCATGTATAATTAAGTGTGTTGCCATACCATACGGGTGTTTCACCCTTTCCATAAATAAATTGGCTTACAATTTGTCTTTAAAAAAATATTGTACTTAATTTGGTTAGACAGACTTTTGTTCGATCACACCATAGCTTTTGCAGTCGTAATAGAAACACTGTGAGGTAAACAAATACAGTTGTATTAAAAAATACATTGATATCTTTTCGTCGGGACATAGGTAGGTATGAGTCAATGATAACTATACTTATGAATAAAATGACAGGCACTTGTATAAGATATAATAATTCATGATATGTGCTTTTAATAAAAATTGTCAAGTGAGTTAAAAAGAGACAATCGCTCGTGTCTGTTAAGTTACTTGGTAACATAGGCTTGAAAAATCAATCATTATATTAAAAAATACGACCACAACCCTTCGTTCACCTTAAATGTTGCGGTCAGCTTGCATAGTAGATAGTAGTCGCCAATGATACACACCTTTTTCCAAGTAGTCAATCAAAATAATTCCCTGTGCATCCCAGTTAAAACCCGCCATAACCTTGTTGGTTGTTGCCTTTTAAGGCTAAACCAATGTATTGGAGTGGTTTGTACTTTTGTCAGAGCAAAAAATGTAAAAACTTATAAATCAATTTTTTAATATATATAGTGTATGTATATTATATACATTATTAAGTTTCCCGACAAACTCAAAAAACTATTATCCAAATGGGCTTAAACTTTGTGGGGAACATCAAATTCAATACCTAAGCTTATTTATTGCATTCGGACAGGTTTAATCAAAAATAAAATTATTGTCAGTATGTTTACTAGCGTTTGAAGAATTAAAAACAGGTTTTTAGTCTCTAAGCTTTAACATATGTATTTTACACGTATGTGTTTAACGACAAACTTGTAGATTACTACAAATTACAACTTTCTTGTATCGTATATTATCTTCGTCATGCAATGCAGATGCTCCTTAATACAGATTAGATGTAAAAAGAACACAAAATTGTTTTTATGCACACGATTAGAAGAAACTCAAATCCTACAACGAAGTATTAACTAACAAAAATTTAAGACTCATGAAAATAAACTATTACTTACTGGGTGGTAAATTTTTCTGTATAATGTCATCTTATTGCTATGAAAGATAAAAATCGTTTTAAAAAACGGCTAAAAATGAATTATACAGCATCTAACTTTTTTACATTACATTTGTAGATAAAATTCGGAGTACAAAAGTTATAGATCATTTAAAAATATATTACTATTGTACTCATTGTTTTTGTTAATATAGTAGTCTCAAGTGTCATCCTAATACAAAATACAACAAAAATCGTTATGAAATGGCTGACAAATTGCTTTGTAAAGGGTAATATTATTTTATTCTTATGACAAGGTGTCAAAAAACGCAGCACCCACCTTGCACAGACCTTGTGTAACCCTAAAATATTATATGCACGTTATTTTGACGTGTTTACAGCTTCATTATCACTCGTGCGAGTACGTTCCAATTTAACGTACGGGGGGATGCAAGTGGCATCAAATCCACGTAGTTCATAGATATCTTTAAATGTCTCAAAAGTTAAGAATTTTATGGTAGGTTGTGAAGCGTAACAGTTATAGGAAATTCAATTATAAGTAAGTACCTTTTCATTCCATATAAATCAAAGTAGACATTTTCGTATTACAGTTGTTGGAAGTATGAAGAGCCTGCGAGAGTATGATGTATATATCGTATATATTCTATCCAAACGGTGCGTCTGCTCGGTGTTTTGCGCTCAGTGTTGGTATGTATATGGTTAAGCAGACGCAACGCACAGTTCTTGCCTAAGTTTATCAAACTTTAAACGGTTGTAATGACAGAGTGCCAGCACTGATTGACATTGGATGAAAAGGCAGTTACTAATAATTTAATTCACTACATGTTTTACACGTATGTATTACCATTAAATGCTTACTTTTTTAGATATTTAAAGATATCTATAAACTACGTTCATTTGATGCCCTGGCTCTCTGTGTTTCACTCAACTGACACCATGGGCGCTGGTGCATATCATTCTATCCCCTCCAGATATATATATATTACTGGAGCGAATAGATACAAGGTTGTTTGTAGTAAAACCATACGCTAGCATGTGATAGGTCTAGTGGCACTATTTCTGTATCAGGCCGAGACTTATTAGCCGACTCACGTTGGTTAAGTTTTTTTTCAAGCTATACTTCTGTACGTTACCTGTATACTTATCTGGCACAGAAGGTTCCGTTATCAAGAAGGCGGACCTTCCAGGGTGAGGCCCTCCCATTACACTACGGTTGGGTTGACCCCTGCGAACATCCCTAATGTGGATATCTCGAGCGTATTGTTTTCCGATAGAGTAAATCAACGATTTTACATTTTTGACTTTCGGAAAACATATGACAGAAGAGAATTTTTTATTTTACTACTCCCCTCATCCCAACGAGCGCCTCAATGCTGTGCCTCACTCTGACACTAAAACACACATGTGAAGAGTAAATTTGAAATTCCATTTCTCGTTCTTTAACTAATTTTCCTGAAAAAAAAAAAAAAAAAAAAACTTTCTACGGGAATCAAAGCAGCTCGGCGACTTCCTGCACACTAGCCGAGTATCTTATCTACTCTGCCAAGAGTGGTCCCAAAATAAGGAAACTGATTATTTTTGCTTATAGTGTGAGTTGTAACGTATTTTAAATTCAAGTATTTATTTATTGTTTATTAATGAATTTAGTTCAATAATACATCATATTAATTAAGTATATCTTTAATTTAATTTTTTTTTTCAACTTTACAAGCTTTTCTTTAGTAGCAGCTATTTTAACACTAATAAATGTTCATTTAATTTCAATTTGCAAATATATAACTGTTAATGATAACTGTTCGTTGACACGCAATACTACCCTATTCAAAATAAAACAGTGCTAAAGGATGTAGTTTCTTAGACTTTTAAATGTTGATTGTAGGTATTATATACAAGACTAAGAATGAGTGTGTGACCGTGTGTGACAGATACGAGCGTGACGTTAGAGATTTAATTAGCGTAGACAGTAGAAAGTTGTTTTGAAATAATAAGAACATTTGATGAAAGTGCACAGACTTATACTGGCCAGCCTAACTGTACGCGCCATGGCTTTACTTTAAACTTTTATCATCGACGTAATATGTTGGTTATAATTGTTTATTTATTAAATATGACACTACTTGTTGAACCCACGCCTAATTACCGAATATCGTCATTTAAACGACAATTACATCACCTTTGATACAGTGCGTGAGTTGTTTAAAATATCATGTCAAAAAAGGTATAATTCCACTCATATATTTTTTGCCATAGAAGTACAACTTCATGCTTAGGTACCCAAGCACACTCTGACAAGTGGTTATTCTTAAGATTGTTGTTTTCAATATAAAAATATGGCGTATGACTGTAAAAAAAAAGAATGACCAAGGACTGAAAGGCAGTTGCAATTAGCTATAAGATAAGTTACAAAAGTAGTAACAATATTCAAATTAAAAAATAGTAACAAAAGATGCAAAGCAGCTATTATTATGTGAAATTAAAATTAAAAAGAGTAAGCAGCTCAGAAAATAAAGAGTCTAAAAAAAACTAAAAAGAAAGTAAAGCAAAAACTGACTAGAAATAATAAAATAAAAGGATAAAATAATGACGATAAAAGAGTTCTAGTGGAGAGAAACAAGCGTGGATAATTTTTGAATCAAAAACTGTCAAATTTTTAAAGTTACTGTATGTCTCACAAAACATTCGGAGTTAAATTAATATCTCCTGTCTTATATACTGATGTTCCAGTACAAAGTGTTACGTTAACCATAATGTACAACTGTATTACATATTAAAGTTATTTATAAATGAGGTTCTTGATTTAAAAAAAAAACTATAAAAGTTCAAAGTACCTTGATGTATACAAGTGTTATGCATTATCATAACTTTCTACTGTACCGTGCAGTAAAAAAGGTGTTATTTGCTAACCTCTCTCATGCAACGCTCTCCGTACTTATACCTCAATATTTTGTAGTAACTATTTTTGATAATTATGTTCATGAAAGATAGTCTGTAAGAACATTTATTATTTCACATCTTCGTGCTAAATGTATTTTGTTAAGTGATGACTTGCTTAAATAAATGCATTTTGTATTTTTATTCCGTTTTATATTATATTCATTCCCTCCATGATCAAATTTTGAGACTCTTGAAAGAGTCGTACTTAACGAAAGTCGTCACCTAACAAAGCTGACTGTGTACTTCGTGGCTCTCGGAAGTGTCAAGTGATAACCGAAGCGAGCCACGAAGCCTAAACATATGAAGTCAGCAAGTATCGACCCCATAGCAAGTAAGACAAAGAAGTTTAACTACAACTTCGTGCAACGTGCATTTATTTGAGCGGTGTTTTAGTTAGTAGCCCGTTGCCGCTCATCCAGTGCAGTACTTCATTTAAAAGGAAGTTTGCTAAATATTTTTGTTAAAAAGTGACTGACTATTTTTTTTTCCTCATCACTTTGTATGATCAATTTGTATCTGCATTAAATAGAAATAAATCAATTAATAACAAATCAAATAAAGTAAAAGTGATTAAAATTATTAAACTGATTTACCTAAAGTGGCTATAAATAAATAGAGAAAAAACCACCGGACGACGGATCGACAGCAACGAAATATAATACAACCAAGGATAATAAAACTAGGTATTCGATCTTTTATTACTCTAATACACACATATGTATATAAATAAATCAAAAATCACGTTACACTAAGGAAAGTAAACAACCGAATAGTTGGACATACTGCTGATTCCGCGGCCCGTTAGGGAGCGTGAGACTTAAGTCCACAAACATCCAGCTTTCACTGAATGATAAAGTTAAATAGTTACGATTCATCATTTAACATATTTGACCTCTTGCCAAACTAAGGTATACGGATGGAGTACAACTCGTTATTAAGTCACTTAAGCTCTTTTTTTAGACATAACGTATGCTTTCAAGACGTATCAAAAACCTATCAATTAGTTCTTATAAGTATTTTTTTTTTAAAACTATTTTTTTAGTAGTAACTATCACGGAGATTTCTCCCAAAATGCTAAGAAAGTAAAGGTAATGGTTGTGCCTTACTCTCCCTTACTTTTAGTTCTTAGTGTATCAATCGATTTATTATTAAGTATTGATTGAACTTAATAGGCATATTTTCAATTCTTTAGGTTAAATATTTTTTACGTCGAGTAACTCTCTTGTTGCCTTAGAAAATCACAAAACTTTACTGCTGCTAACAGTTAACTTAAATCAACAAAACAAACTCTAAACGACATTACAGTCAATTTATGAGTCTTAATTTCTATTTTTTGCACAACAACTAGCTGAAAGTATAAATTTATAATGATTAAAAATATACTTTTACGATAGACTCTCTCTAGAGACTAGAATCTCCTTATTGCACTTTGTTAACATTACCGTCAAAAGTGGCTGTCTAACAGATGGCGGTAAACCCTACTTGTCTCAGAAGTATAAATAAATAGTTCATCATTTATTCAAAGCGCATAATGCATTAGTAAACTTTATGAATATAGATAATAATTGACAATGCCTCATGGTCGATTTGCAGGAATATATGTATATGTATATATATTTTCTATATTGTACGGTTCAATAGTTTTGAAGCGTCAAACAGAACCCCCACCCCCAGATAAGGTAATTTTCCTTTGTTTAACCTAAAAATTTAGTTAAATGAAAATTGAGTCGATAAGCTTCCACTCCCTTCTGCACCCCCTAAATAATCTAATTTTGCATAGTCTGGCTTTGTATTGTATGGTTTTTTATATAGTTGTATGATTTTAAGGCGATAACTAGCTCTGTCCTAAATAAGATAATTTTCTTTTTTCCAGCTAGAAAATTCAACCAATTAAAAATAAACCAGTTAAATAACCCCTGCCTTAGTAAGTGGCAACATTAGCACCTCTAACCAAGAAACTTACTGCTGGTAACATATTAAATGGTAATAACTCAATTTGAACTACAAGAAAGACATAGAAAAATATACAGACTACGATTCAAACCTCACTAATACATTATTATCCTTGAACACTAATGATGTTGGCTGCAGTGTAAAAATTAATAATGACACATACATAAATGTACTTTATGGGATTTTATTTCGATGTACATCATACACTTTTGCTGCAGTCAAGTGAATGTAATATAACATACTTTAACCCATCAAAAGCCAAAAATCACGATTGAGAAAACGTGGCGTGATCACTTAATAAACTTATTTTAGGCATGTCCATAGACATGTACAAGATAGACTGCTTATTATAAGCGGAGGGCTCCTGGAACTGAAGCATACTTACTAACTCTATTAAAAAATCAATGATTAATAAATGTTGCAATCCGTCGTCCATTGCATCGTTGATCCTATGTAGATTCTATGTTGAATCCATGCTGTTTTAGCGTCGAATCAATATCAAATGAACATAATAGTATTAAAGTTATAAGCTTTAATAAAATTTATTTTAACTGCAACTACCATGCTAACATAAAAAAAGGATTATTTCGAAGTCTACGACTAACATCAACTTAAATCAACGCTGATTTAACGCTGAATCAACATCGATTCAACAAGGGATCAAAGCAGAATCAACAATGTAATTTACGACTGATTTCAAAATTGAATTTTTTGGTAGGGAAGGAAGAGAATATGAGGACAAATTGCCAGTCAGTCCTTCTCTCTCGCAGTCTTGAGTAAGATAATTGAGATATTGAGACCTGTATAGGGCATTTTTCACTAACGTTAGCAGCAGTGAATTTTTTAGTACAAAGGTTATAAAAAAAAAAATTCAACTCTCACACGAAGTGACAAATCTCATGATTGGTGGGGATCCAAAGCATTTCTCTTAGGGTTTATTACCACGAAGAGTTTTGTTGGTACATAAAAAAAGCTCGGAAAAGAGAAAATACGATCAAATAACTTTTTTTTAGCTGTGTGTGTGAGAGAGAGATAGAGAGATACATGTAATATAAGAGAAGTCAGGTAAAAGTAGATCAGTAACACAGCAAGAAAAAAGCGTGTTAAATTTAAACATATCAACTAAAGTATTTTATTAGCGTTAAAAAATAAGCTTTGAATACCAGTTAAAAAGTGGCTTTTAAATGAAAAAATATCAAAGCAAAAATTCGTTATGATGGAAATAAAACTTTTTAATAGAAGTTCTTAATATGATGTATAACATAAAAACTAGTATTTATACGAAAGTATAACTAAACCAAAGTCCTTAAATTCACTTACTACTAATTATTAACATAAACTCTGAGATAAACCTTTAGTATGACTATATTTTGCAACTGTTTAAATATATAAATATATATGTTACAT